TGAAGAACTGCTGCAGTACAGAAGAAAACCCCCCATAAATCGCACACCACTGGCTATGACGTATCACCCCTCCCTCGAACCTGTACGGAAAATCCTCAAACAATTGCAACCCATACTAGACAGAGACCCTATTCTTAAAAAGATCTTCCCAGAGCCACCCATCCTAGCCTTCAAATAAGCACTGAACCTCGCCAACCTCATCACCAGAAGCAAACTTCCTTAAGCCCAGAACACACCAAAAGGATCCAGACTGTGCCATGACAAGAAATGCAAAACCTGCCAACACATCTTCACCACCCTCACTATTACTACACCCCACAACAGAGCCATCAGCATTCCTGGATCTTACTGCTGCACCTCCAAAAATGTGATATATCTCATCCAATGCACCAAATGCCCTGATGGACAATACGTAGGAGAGACCAAACAACAGCTGTACTCCAGAATGAACGCACACCGGAAATCTATCAAAGACAGAAATACCCAGTGACTGGTGGGGGCACATTTCTCACAAGGAAACCACTCTCTCTCCAATCTCTGAGTCCTGATCCTCAAAGGAAACTTACACAACACTTCCCAGAGACGAGCCTATGAACTCCACTTCATCAACCTCCTGGATACTAAAAATCATGGACTAAATATAGACATTGGATTTATGACACATTATAACCTGCCTGACATCTGACTCTCCAGGTATCTCTCCACTTTCGTCCCCCTTCTCTCTCTCCACCCCCCCCCAGCCTGTCTCTCACCCATTGACTGCTCAATCTACATTTTCATTGACTGCCTGTCTTATATGCATACCAGCCCAGCCTCTGGCTTCTTTATTTTTCATTCCATCCAGGAAGAGCACACAGCAACTGGTGAAACTTCCTTAGCCTGATGAAGGGTTTTTGAACCCAAAAGCTTGCTTAATAATTATTTTCCAACTATTTGGGTTGGTCTAATAAAAGATATCAGATTCACCCAAGGAACCTTGTCTGCCTATGTCCTTAGACCAACACGGCTACAACCTACACCCCTGTTGCTATTCACCTGAATTTAATCTCTATATATCTAATTTTTACATGATGATATGCTATGAATTATGGGACCAAAGTAAACTAAATTTAACAGAGGTCATGGATGCAATTGGGGCTGGTAGGTGGGGCACAACCACAGTATAAACAAACAAGAAAGATGAACTTTCCTTGCTCACAATTTCCAAGCTTGGGAAACTTCCTCCCCAGTGAGTCTTGTGGTCCAAGTTAGTTTTTCTCCCTTCCTGGATTACGTTCATAACCACATGTCTTACTTTCTCTGGAGGGCTGATAAAACTCCAGTTGCAACCAGTCTTGGTAAGTAGACAAGTCAGGGTTTCCCTTTTTACAGAGGTGTGCTGCCAGGTTCTCCAGGGTGCCTCTCAGTAAACTTGGAAAGCCAAGCAGATCCTCCCAGGACTTGAGGGGACAGATCCTTTTTGGGAATTCCTGGGGTGTGCAGGATCAGGCTTTTTAAGCTCCTGGCACACTGTCCAGGGAGGTTGAACAGTTTGGGTAGCTCCAGGCTGTTGGTGCCCTCTCACCTTAAGTAAACATCTACTGCTAAACAGTGACACAAATTGATACCGCTGTTGTTGCAGGCACAAACTTTGGGCAATTGTGGCACAACATGGCGTATGGGAGTCTACTTACTTGGCCTTTGCTCTGACATAAAAATTTCCATAGCAGCACAAAAACAACGAAAGACTATGTTTTTCTTTTTATCCTAAAAGAACAAAACATCTAATAGGTATTTGTAGATAAGGATGTACCTTCTAGTCACCAACAGACAGAAGTCTCTCTCTATATGTGAGTCGGAAGGCAAAAAGTTCTGAGGCACATTTACCTACAATGGGTAAATTATTCAACCTCATACACTTAGTATGATTATGAATGAGAAGCTGTGGGTATGGGTGAATGCATATCAAGTTGTGTGACAGCCTTTATTCATTATCCAGAGTTGCCTGGGTGAGACTACTGCTAGTGTGTGTGTGTGTGTGTGTGTGTGTGTAGTATGGTTGCATTAGAGAGGGGGTAGCAGTATTTGAAATGCTGTATATCTATAACCAGTTATTGCTGGTCATTGTGTGCATGCAGAAAGAACCCAGGAATTAACATGTAGGCATATCAGGGAGGAAAAAGAGATGACCGGGTAAAATGAGGTTGAAATATATGGGAGGATGAAATGTAGATGAAGAAGAAAAAGAATGAAACAAATTGAGTGGATAGCATTGCAGGTGGCTACTGGCTGCTTGACTTCTAGGCACTTAGGTGCAGATTGAGAAAGAAGATGTTTCTACAGCTGCCTCTCTTTGATCTCCACTTGGACTTTGCCTTTTCCAGGACAAAAGACACTTGGATTGACATGTGTAAGGATTTAGTCTCCACTCATCCCAGAATGATGCATGTTGTTCAGGAAAACAAGCATATTCCAGCTGGGAGGCACACAGTTCTTCTATTTTTTCAATGGGCAGTGAGTGGACTGCCAAAAGTGAATTCTATTCTGCCCTATAGAGGCACAGACCTATGCCATTCAAGCAGTGGGCAGATATGATATGTGCCTCTACCAACCAGTCATAGGCTTATGATATTCTAGTCTGGGAAGGCACAGAGGTCTCCATTTTCTCACTGGTCGGTTTTAGTACAGCCTAACATGTCTGTGTCATGTTGGAATCCAACTGTTCTAACTGGCTAAGAGGGGAGATGTCAACCAGAGTCTTTTGCCAGACTGCCATCAGCAACAGCATTAACTTCACCGTAAACTAAACAAAGGAAGAGGAAGTTTAGAGAGTCAATGGATGAAATACATATATACAGTGTGTCACCTGGAGCCAGAAGCCATGGCTTCCTCTGTTCCTGGAGTGCCTACATCCTAAACAAGATGGCATAGGATCACACTTAGACTTAGATATACTGGCTTAAAGGGCTGAGAGGTGGAATAGGACCTGGGAGTTAGTGAGTTTTGGTGCCATTCAGAATGGAGAAAATTAAAAGCTGACAGAATTCCACACAGCCAACTAAAAGAAAAAAGGCAGCTCACAGCTGAACAGAGACACAGAAACAATGATCTCTGGGACTAAAAACTTGGGAAAATCTTAGTAAACTGCCTAAATGATTACATGGGCCACAATTAAGCATTTTCCTGATAAAAGACAGACAAGTATAGAGAATGATAACAATAAGTTTACTGCCTTTGACCTTTGAGAGGAGCTGGCTGACTGTAGGGTTTAATGTTCTTATAAATTCTCAGCAGAAGTTTTGAAGACACGGGCAGGGTACACATAATTGGTAACCTGCCATTGCTAGTGCTGAACTTGCTTCATATGGATAATCATCTAGAAAAGGGGCAGAGGTGGGAAGATAATGTATCTTCTACTGCTGACAGGAGCAAATCTCAGGTTCTTCCTGTGTTATGCGTTGCTTTGATCCACACTCTGAATACCAGCTTAGGATATATTACTTATTTCCTATCCTGCACAGCTCTGATAACTAAATCAAAACCAAATGGGAACGGGGGAAACAGTCTTTAGGTCTACCAGTATGACTGCAGTGATCTGGCAAAGATTGGCATCCCTGAGACTGTCAAAAAAGCTATTAAATTTTATAAATAGACAATAATCCATGCAAGCAAGTACATTATGAAAAATATATTTATCGAAATAATGGTGCATTAATTATCTTACTTAACTTCTTTATGTGTTTTATTATCATGCCTTGGTGCCTACCTCCTATGCATAATCATAGGAGGAAGGCACTTGTTTTATAATCACCTTTGTATGATTATAAAATACATAAAGAATGTAAGTGACAGAATCTATGTCAGGAGCGGGCAATTATTTTGGGCAGGGGGCCGCTTACTGAGTCTTGGCAAGCCATCGAGGGCTGCATGACAGGCAGCCCAGGGCAGATTAATATTAATTTTCTAAATTTTGTAGGGGCCCTGCAGGCCAGATAGAATGGCCTGGCTGGCCGGATCCAGCCCCCAGGCCGCATTTTGCCCGCCCCTGATCTATGTCAAGTGAAAGAATCTAACAATCTATATAATCTTTTCATTTCAGAAACCACTACTGATGTTTCACCTAATACAGAAAGTGTTTATGTACTGTACCTTGCACTTGTTCATTAGGTATGGAAGCCAGGTTTCCTCCAAAGTTCATACAAGTTTTCTGTGCAACAAACCAATTTACTCTGTCCTCATATCTGGAGCCAAAAAACGTGTAGCACTATGAAAAAAGGGAATCAGAAATTTGTATAAGGTAAAAGAAAACCTGGGAGAGGTTAAAAACTGACATGAGCCAGAGAACCAAAAAAGGAGCTGCCAATAAAGGTCTTTCTTTTGATGGCACTTGTAGAGCTTTCCCCCAGTAACATGTTTTTTATCTGTCTTGAACTTCTGCCTACCCAGAGATTGACCTGTACATAGGGTTGATAGGTCTCTTTCTGTTTTTGCCAAGCTAATGAAAGAGATTAGTTCATCACCAGAGTTCACAAGTCATTATACATTTGACTAGATTATGAAGGAAACCAACAATTAACCAACCAGTAGATCTCTTATGCAAGGAATTTCAACATGGTATATATTTACATGGGCTTACCCAAAAGGTTGCTCTGAATCTAGGGTTGAGAAATCTTTGCATATTCAGCTGCTCAATGGAAAAGTCTAAGATTGTTCTTTTATTGAGGCTAGGATTTGTTATGCTGGACTTGTATTAATAATAGCACAGATTTGAAAAATTCAGCTCTGAATTTTCTAAGTGTTAATTGGAAATATTTTAAATCAGAACAATTTTTAAAATTACATATTCAGTATACATTTTCCCACAAGAAATCAGGAATGAAAAACTTTAAAAAGCCTTCTAGTACTCACAGCTTCAACAATAATAGGAATTGGCAGGAAAGTGTGTTCTGACCACTTCAAGGTTTTGAGTAAAACAAAATATTACCAAATAAACAGCAAAAAGTGTAATTATAAAAGGATTTCTTGGGGGATGGGCAGGAAGGGAATAAATCCCACATATAAACTACAATGAAAATCAAAACATAATTTTTGAGCTCCCAAAATGAGTAGAACAAGCCCCTTTCTGATATTGCAGCTCTTTTATTTATAGAAATATACTAGTTTATTCATATAGATCTACCACTGCCAGAACATGTTGTACTTACACAGCCTTGCTGCTGCTAATAATGGTATAATAAATGTTCACGGTGCTGACCTCTTCTGTTCACTCTCTGTTCAGCGAGCTACTAATAACTGTCAGAGAATGAGCAGACTAATGTACAAGTAAAGATAAAAAAGTACTGGTATTTGAACATTTCCCTTATGTGCATCAGTGGGCAGTCTCACAGAAAACCTTTCCATGAAGCCATTCTGCATTGGGAAAAGGAATGTAATGGGATGTATATTGTTCAGAAATAAATATCAATAACGTATTCATTCTAATTCACTTCAGCTTAGAGGTCTGATCTTGCACATGCCATTCAGGCCTACATCTGGCAATCTCAGCTGATCAATATTTTTCTACGGCAAATGTAAGCTTAAAAAAGTAGTAAGAGTTCATCTATTAACATATTAATACCAACAATGACCCCTCCTGCATGGAAATCACTTGAAACTGGTAACTACCAGGTGAACTTTTCAGGAGAGTTAAACATGGGCATATTATCAAACTGGCCTAATCAGTCCATCACAGGGGTCAGGAACTGTTCAGAATGGCAGGCCACAGTTTATGACCCAACTGTCACCCTGTCCTGACAATTCCCTCTGCAGTGTCCCAGCCCTCCATGCTCTATGCCAAGGGCTGCTCTCACACCCCGCAACTGCAGCCACAGCTTACTGTCACCACCAATTGCTACCAATTTCTGTCACCAGTACTGATGGATAGCGCTGCATATAGCTGCAAGGGTAAGTGTAGGCTGCAGTAATGGCGCAAGAGAATAGCGCTCAGCATGGAGCAGAGAGGACGGGTAGCTGGATGCTGTGCAGAGGATGCTGTGTAGAGTTGGTACAGGGCATAGAAGGTGATCCCACTGCCATGTGTTGCCAATCCCTGCCACTGCAGACTTCACCTTCCCATGCCAGATCCAACCTGTGGTCTCCAGGTTGTCAACCCTTGGCCTATCAGAATACAATTTTGGATTATCCAAAGATATCTGAAAAGGAAGAGTATATTTATTTGTTCTATGTTCAATTCCTAATATACAGTAGTATGGTATTTGGTACTGTACCTTATTTTTAAACAAAAGCCAATCTTCAAGACATCCGCCTGGAGGGGATGGCTCTGTAGGAGCAAATGTTGAGTTTATGGAAGTGTTATGCCTTTCACAGATAAAGGCATTTGGATAATAACAGTTGATGTCATTCCACAAACCTGAAGCAATTAAAATATAAAAAAGAAGTCACTGGAGGACACTGACATTTGTGGTAAAACTCTATCCCCTCTCACGTTTGTACTCTCTAGCATACAAATTCAGGGGATGATACATGCCCTGCATCAAGTCTAATGGAAAGTTCATACAATACTCTGCAATTTCAATGCTTGTAAAAAAACCATGTTATTAGTAATCTGTGGTTGATGGCTATTTTTGGCAGATGAAATCCAGTGTAAATAGGACTGGAGATTACACAGAACTGAAGTATAATTCAACACTGCACGTGCTGATGGCTCACTGTGCACAGAAAGAGAGGCCTTGCCTGAGAAAACATATGATTAAATGTGGACTCCAATATGAAAATTAGAGCACTACTGTGAGCCCTGTTCTCTGGCTGGTCCTATTCTAGTTTCTTATTTGAAGGGAAATCCTGAACACATTGAACACAATAGCAAAACTCTCACTGATTTTAGTGTTTAACCCTGGGCTGTTGCAGAGCAAATTTATTAATGCTAGATTGAGTTGCTCTGCATTCCAGCTCCTGTATCTCACTTGTTACAATCATTTCTATGCCCAACACTGCCTACATTGCATAAGCTCTAAACTACAGAGTAAGAAACTTTTATTTTAGTTATATTTTCCCAAATTTACTTTTTCTGTAGCTTAAAAGAAGGGAGGCGTGCACATAAAGAAAGATTTATCCATACACACGTCTCAAAATGTCACTGTATAACTCACCAGAGTTTTTATGTATGGCTACACAGTTTTCTTCAGCATTTGCAAAGTTGGGCTCATTTGATGCCCAAGCTGCATAGTGTACTGGGCTTCCATCCAGCCAGCTAAGAACCAAAAACAGAGCAGTAGTTACTGGCTAAATTGCTTTTCAGTACAGTAACACTTCCTTTCCCAAAACACAACAATCCATTAGTTCTAATACAGAAATAATTTGGTAAAAGTATACTAATTATATTAATAACATATAATAAATATGTAACTATATACACAGTGCATAACAGTGAATATACATATTTAAACACAGTGATATAATAACAGAAATTCTAATAATAGATAAGAATAATGATTCTAAAATAAAAACAATAATAATACAATATTAATCACATATAATAAATATAAATGCAATAAATATATTCATCACATAGTATATATGTGATTTTAGGCTGACCTTTTATACGGTCGGTATGACTTTGACAAATAAATTCCTTGCACATGAAGGTAAAAATAAAGAATACATTTCTTTTTCATCATTATTATCTCTACTAGCCAATTGCTCATCAGGAATGATGGGGGGTGGGGGAGGAGCAGTGCGGGGAGGGGAAGAGTGGGTCTGGGCTTGATGCGAGGGAAGACTGGTCCCGAGGGTGGGGAGAAGCTGGCCCACCATGACAAGGGGAACAGTGGGCCCAGCCCAACCCAGGGCGGGAGGAGTGGGCCCAGGATGAGTGGGCCCGGGCCCAAGGCAGGGAGGAGGCTCGCTCCTCCCCGCCCCCAGCCACTGCTGCATTGGGCGGGGCCCACTGCTCCCCCTGCACCGCCGCAGTGGGCTGGTTTCTCCCCTGGCTCCAGCTTGGTCCTTCTCCCCCTCCATGTCAGGCCTGGGCTCATTTCTTGCCTTTTGTTCTGCTGCCACTGATACGTGCCAGCTATTAGCTACACCCGCATTGGGCCTGCTCCTCCCACCATCGCTGCCATGTCATCCCACATCGGGCCCTGCAGGCAGTAATGACAGAAGTGGGGAGGGGCAGGTCGAAGCCAGAGCCAGTGGCCTCACCCCACCCCCCACCCGTGGCATCCCTGTGGCAGAAATGCCACCGTCTGTGTCCCTCTCCAGAAATCTGTCTCTGCCAGGGTGAGAGGCTGGTGTTGAATTCCTCAGGGAGGGGGATCTTTCTCCCTGCCTACATGACAAAAGCCTGGTGCCTCAGGTGTGGATTCTCTGGTCACCTGGGGACGGGGAGGGAAAAGCCCCGCTCACCGGCCCAGGTAGCCAGTGATGCTTTTTAAATTGGTTGGCTAGTGGCCAGCACTGGCAGCTTCGATTGGACCGGGCTGCTGAGGTCAGAAAGGTTATTTAAAGGCCCGGTCCAGGAAAAAGGCAGCCATTAGCCATGTGGTCATCGAGGTGAATCTGAAACTGGGAGAGGAGCTTCACCATCTGAAACAGGCTCTCTCCTCATAATCGCATGCTCAAAGAGTGACCTGCCTCCAGAGGAAAACTCCAACCACCTCTGGATGATGCGGGTGAGTAAGCTACTCGAGATTCGACTAGATATTTAGCTTACAGTAACTCAGATGCGTGATCAAAAGGCTACCTCAGCCATACTGGTTTGCTCTATAGGATTCCTCTGATATTCCTATGACACTGCTCTACCTTTTACCCTGTTTTCACCCTACCCCCTGTAATCAATAAAGTTCTCCTTTGTGACCGGTGTGGGAGACTTATTGAGGGGTGGGTCTAAATTGTGCTGAGGAGGCCCCTTAGGTCTGTGGACTAAGGGAGACTTTCCTATTAAGCCCCTGACTTGGGGAAGTGCCCCAAGTGCCTGTATTGGGTCTAGTACCAAGTGGACGACCAGGCCTGTGTTTTCCAAGGTGCGCAGAGCCAGAATTGAGTCCAGAGCCTTGGATGGTGGCAGTGGGAACCCCAGGCTAGTGGGTATGCTCCAGGGAAGGGGTCGGCTGGACATGAGGCACCCCAGGGAGGCACTCAGAGCCTGGAAGGTGGTCGGGCGCAGTGAGGTGGGCGGCTCAAATCAGGAGCGCCCCCTACTGGCCCACCACAATCCCAACCCCACTCCCTCCTGCTCCAATGCTGCCATCACCTTCAAGGTGTAAGGGAGGGGGGTGAGGCCAACTCCAGTGGCCTCACCACCCTACTCTTCTCCATCGTTGCTACCTGCAGGGAGCAGGGCAGGGGGAGTGAGGCTGGCCCTACCCCCTTGTTCCATCTGCTCCATTGCCCCTGCCTCCAGGGAGCAGGGCTGCCCTGGCCTCGCCCCCACCCCTCCATTCCCTGTGTCCCCGCTATCATGGTGGCGCTCCACCACCAGCAGCTCCTGTTTGAACTTGTGTTCAAACTCTGATTGGCTGTTTGTCAGCCAATCAGAGCACAAATAAAGTGTTGTGGACAGACAGAAAGACTTAGGCTTTTATAATATTAGAATATTCATTTTTATATTCACATCAAAATATTTCCATTGGGGCAGTTAATTTAAAATACATTTAAATGCAATAACTACATACATTTCGACACAAAATATGACTACCCACACCTTTTAACTCTAGCTGCTTTTAACTTGAACAAATATAAGATTTAAGCACTACATAATATAAGGCTAGATGTTGCTTATTTACTTACGCAAACTGGCGATCAACACTTTGAATTAATCCAATCGTGTATGACTCACTTTTACCATTTCTTAAAATCTATACACAAAGATATAATGTTAGTTAGTATGCCCTTGCATCTAACGAATAATTTGATGTGAAAACCATATTTTTTTCTAATTTTTTATACTAAATATCTAGAAGGCAGTCTGTATTGTGATTTGTGACTCTGAAGGGCCTCTATTGAGACATGAATCATATCTGCAAAGTTACAGACTTTAGCATCTTCAGCTCAAATGCTGTCTAATTAGTTTTGACTTCTTTTGTGGTATGAGTGAAGCCATTTGAATTTATTTATACCAACCTGGAAAAGATCTTTTCAATTTTAAAGAAAACAATCTGTACTTTTAGGAAGAGTTAAAAACTTTTGGTTGTTCATGGTAACACCCCCTAACCCCCGCCCCCCAAAACCCCAAAGATTTTTAATCTGCCCATACTTTAGAACTCTCTGAACTCTCCATCACTATCTCTTCATATTCATATTCTCTTTCTCTATATAATTCCTCCCTCAATCTCCTTCTCTTCTCTTTC